ATGGAGGCCCCCTGCCAATCCTGGGTTGTGTGTAATGGGTGTAAGCGGGCTTGGGGAGGTGGTGAGTTGATGGGCATACCGCTGTCCGCACCAAACCCTGAGGGTAGCGTCTATCATCGGGTTCCTAGTGTGCAGGTCAGAGAAGGTGGACCCCCCAAGCCAGAGCTTTGATGGGACAGTGCCCAGTGTCTGTTGCAGTTCCATGGTACCCCAGCGTTTGGAGCTGGGGCACGCGTGCCAGTCTACTATTCTGTGGAGGTGCGTGGCCCTGTAGTACGAGATCACTGACGGTAGCCCCATCCCTCCAGCCGCCTTCAGTCTCTCCAGGATCGACCTGCGGATGCGCGTCTGTCTATGATTCCACACAAACCTGCGAATAGCTGTAGTTACGGAGTTGAAAAACGTCTGGGGGATCCTGGTAGGCAGTGTCGCAAAGAGATACAGCAACCTAGGTAGAACATTCATTTTGACCGCATTAATGCGGCCAAACCAGGAGATGTACTGCTGCGTCCACCGCTGGAGGTCTTGTTGTATGGCTGAAAGGATAGGGAGAAAGTTCAGCCTGTAAACCTGTGTCAGGTCCGCTGGTAGCCAGGTACCCAGGTATCGTAGTTTTGTCGCGCACCAGGAAAAGGCGAACTGGGTGCTGAGCTGACGGACTTGCTCCTCCCCCTGTATTATCGGCATAGCTTCGGATTTTTCCACGTTGAGTTTCAGGTTGGATACCTGGTGGTAGGTGCGAAATGCCTGTAGCAAGTTGGGCATGGATATCCTGGGCTGTTCCAGGAAGAAGAGCATGTCGTCCGCATAGGCCGCCACCCTATGCTCTTCGGAACCCACCTTCACCCCCGTTATGCCCCCGTCCTGTTTGACCGCCTCCAGAAACGGTTCAAGAGAGAGGGCAAACAGGAGAGGGGACAGGGGACAACCCTGGCGGGTCCCATTGCATATCGGGAAAGACTGCGTTAGGGCTCCGTTAATGCGGATCCTAGCCGTCGGGGTGGAGTACAGCGCCGACACCCATGTTCGTATAAGTGGTCCGAATCCCATGTGTCGTAGCATCTCGTCCAGGTACCCTGCCGAACGCCTTTTCGGCATCCGTAGAGAGGAGGACTGTGTCCCGTCCCGAGGTCCTTGTGCAGTGTATGATGTTTAGGGCCCGTATCGTGTCGTCCCTGGCTTCTCTGCCCGGGATAAAGCCTACCTGGTCTGGGTGTATGAGATCCGGCAGAATCCGCGACACCCTCCGGGAGAGGGCCTTAGTGAATAGCTTCAGATCAGCATTTAGTAATGAGATTGGCCTATAGCTCGAGCAGTGTGACGGATCTTTTCCGTCTTTGGGGATGACCGTGACTATCGCTGCCAGGGAGTCCGTGGGGACTCGCCCCCCTCCTGTATGGAGTTTAGGCCCGCCAGAAGGCGGGGTAATAGGGCGTCTCGAAATGTTCGTAGGTACGTTAGGGGAGGCCGTCCGGGCCCGGGGCCCTGTGTGGTTTGGAGCACTTCATGGCCGCGGCTAGTTCCTCCAGTGTCAGGGGTTCATCGATTTCCTCCGCGAGCTCTGGAGTGAGTTTGCGGGTCACATGTTGTGTTAGGTAGTCTGTAACTCTTCTGCGGTGGTTTTGGGCTTCTGTCCCGTGTGTGGGCGTAGCTTGGTTGTAAAGGTCCGTGTAATAAGCCCTAAATGCAGCCATAATGCCTTCAGGCATTCTGGTGTTCTGTCCGTGTCGTGTATGTATCTGGTGGATGTGTTGGGATCTACGCTTCTCCCGGAGCACTTGTGCCAGGAGTCGTCCGCTCTTATTTGAGTGCTCGTAGAAGTGCCTGGCGGATTTCCGTAGTGTGTGTAGTAGTCCCTGGGAGAGGTGGTCTCGGAGTGCCCTGCGTGTCTCTGTAAGTCGTAGGTACGTGTCGTCATCTAGGGTTTGCTTATGTGTATTTTCTAAGTCGGCTATCCGTGTCGTTAAGTCTAAGATTTGACGGGCCCTATCTTTCTTGCGTTGTGTGCTGATGGATAGGAAGTGTCCTCTAATAACGCATTTATGGGCTTCCCAGAGCGTCAATGGGGGCATGTCAGGTGTGTCGTTGGTATCAAAGTATTGCGTAAGAGTCTGTAGTGCCATGGTGCGTGTCTCTAGCTCTGTCAACAGGGTTTCAATGAGTTTCCATTGGCGCTCGGCGGGTTTAAATAGTGGAGAGCTCATTACCACCGTGGTTGGGGCATGGTTGGACTGGTTAATAATCCCTCTGGTTGCATCCTGGAGAAGCGCTAGGCTTTCCTGGGGCATGAATACATAGTCTATCCGACTGTATTGTTTGTATACTGACGAATAATAGGAGAAATCTATCGTCCGAGTGGGCTACCCGCCAGCAGTCGACCAGCCCCATTCCGTTAAGGGCTCGCCGCATCGAGTGGAGACAGTGCTCTGGGACAGTGCTGGCCCCCCTGGAGGTGTCCACCCGCGGGTCTAGGGGAACATTAAGGTCCCCTGCCACTATCAGTAGGCCGGCCCTGAATTTTTCTAGTTTGGCTTGCATTTTGGCAAAGAAGATGTGTTGTCTACGGTTAGGGCTGTAGATACTTGCGAAGGTGTAGGTATGGTGTGCAATGGTGCCTTTCAGGAAGATATACCTCCCACCAGGGTCCGCCAGAGTGTCCATGTGTTGGAACGGGACAGTGCGTGAGAAAAGAATTGCCACTCCTGTTTTCTTAGAATCTGGGTGGTTGGCATAGTACCCGTGTGGAAAGCGACTATTCTCAACCCTCGGTGAGTCCTGGCCCCTAAAGTGCGTCTCCTGCAAGAGCGCCACGGACACCTGTTCCGCCCAGAGCTGGCGTAGTAGTTGAGAACGTTTCTCAGGGAGGTTTAGGCCTCTCACGTTATTGGATCACACTTTAAGTTGTGCGGGGGTGAAGTACCCCTTGTCCCCCCGGCGCGTGCTTCCCCCTCCAGGCCCCGCTGGGGAAGGCATAATGCAGACGCCTACACGTGGATGAGGAAAGGAAGGTGGAAGTGAGAGAGGGAAGAGAGGGAGAGAAAGAGAGAGAGAGAGAGAGAGGGGGAAAAAAAGTTGCTGGGTTGCAACAATGAACCTTGGTCGTATGGAGTTGTTCGGGGGCTGCTCGTCTGCAGTCTTACCGAACTCCAACCAGTATGTACAATGCGGGTCTGTTGCGTGGGGTGCAGGAAAGGTCACCTACGGTGTCTGTCGCACGAACGTGTGTGTTGAGTCTGTGGCTGTCTCCAGGTGCACCCAACCCGCCGGTCGCAGCGGTGAGTGTCGTCTTCATCCTGCTGTATATCTGGGTTGCGCCCCTGTCACCCTTCCTCCCTGGGCCGGTCCCTCCTGGTAAGTGAGTGTTCCCTAGTCTGTCTCTCTAGCCTATCATCTGCAGTCTGCCCCATATCTCACCACTTTATGGAATGTGGGTGATCCTTTCCCCAGTCCCCCGGCCCCTCATGGCCGTCCAGTCTTTCAGTCCAGTCGAGTCTAGCCCTGCCGAGACATCCGTCTCCATAACTCGTGCGGTCCTAGGGTTAGTCTAGTCACCTATTATTCTATATATAACAGCTTTCAACTGATAATGAACAACATAACAAGTTAATGTGCCCCTACCGGACATATGCATGTGATCCCTCTTGGAGCTCCCTGGTGCATGGTCGTTCAACCCCACATCGGCTCCATCCCCAGCCGGGGTCGGGGTGGAGGCAGAGGACCTCCGAGCAGTGAGGGGTGTGACGGGCGCGCAGCCAACCATCTCCCACCCCCTGGCCATCCAGGCGGGTCCGGGCCCCCGCTTCCGTCAGTCTCTCGCTCTTCCATATGCCCTTCCAACATGGACCCTGAGAACCTTCCCGCATCCCCCTGTGGCCCGTGGTCTCCTGTGGTCAGGCCATCTCGGCGTGCTAACAACGCTACGGGCATTCCGGCTGATCCCTGCACGCCTCTAAGGCCCCCGCAGTGAGGCCACCCCCTCCCCGTACCCCCCCACAGGGCCTTTCCCGCGGCAAGATCCCAGTCCATCTGTTTGAGGTCCCCTCCTCCCCCCACCGTTTGCGTGGCCCCCCCACAGGTCGCAGCAGGCAGCCATGAGCCGGGTCATGTGGTATCGCTGATTGTAAGGGACCCAGATTTTCCCCCGTGGACCCGCTCCCTCTTGGTAGCATGCCCTCCCTCCCGGACCCCCCACACAAACATGCTCAGACCCATCTGGGGCTATGTGGGGTAGTGGTAGCCTTCTCCCCTGGATATCCCCGTTTAGGCTTCCTCCCTTTTTCCCGTACCCCACCCAAGCGGTGTTTCCCTGGGGGCACGGGATTTGCAAGCCACACTGGTGGACCATGGGCCCAGGGGAAAGCATAGTACATACCCCAATCAATCAGTCTCGGTGTCTCTGTGTCAGTGTGCATACCCTGGGGAATTGAGTGACATGTCCCGGTGTGAAGATCATGGGAACCCTGGGACTCCCGACCTGGCCGGGCACCCCTTCAGGAACCTGCATCCAGGGGTACTCCGACGTTCTACTCCTCCGAGGCATTGGGTCCATCCCGACAAGCCGAAGAGCCCGGTGGGGCACCCTCTGCGAGATTCTCCGCCGGGACTGTGGGTCTGGCCGGTGGGTTGTCCAAGATCCAGTTTGGGATCGAAATCTCCAGAAGGCCCGCTGAGTGCAGGAGTCGGGGAACATCGTTAGGCCATCTTACTACGAGCCAGCGGTTATCCACTCTAGCTTGCAGGCTGAACGGAAAATCCCCATTTATATGGGATCTGCTTCTGCTGCAGGAGGCCGGTGAGTGGCTTCAGCGCTCGTCTAGCATCGATGGTGAGGGTAGACAAGTCATGGAACAAAGATACGTGAGAGTCCATGTAACTAATGGTGCGCAGCGCCCTGGCCGCCCTCATAATTGCCTCCTTTAGCTTGAATGATTGTAAGCAGCAAACCAGGTCCCTGGGTAGGCCATCTCTCCTTGGTGGCCGAAGTGCTCGGTAGGCTCTTTCTAAGCCAAAATCCGACGGTGCTTCTTCCCCCAGAATGTGTGTAAACAGGCCCTCCAGTAGCTCCCTAGGTTATTCCCCTTCGGATTCCGGCAGACCTCTGACGCAGATGTTGTTGCGCTATGTCCTCGATTTTCGAGGTTCTCTACCTGGCGTCTGAGCTCCAAGAGGAGGTTGCCTTGTCGTGTAGTTGCCAGGTCTGTGGCCCGTTGGTGCTGTTCTGTTTGCAGCCGTTGGACCTCCAGGTCATCTACCCTATGTTCTAGTGAGGTGAGGTCTTGCCGTACCGCTGTTATTTCTTCTCTAATAGCTGAGTGGAGTTCGGCTACTAGTTCCTTCTTTTCCTGCCTGGTGAGCATGTTTGCCGAAATCGCCATCTGGGTGAGGGCATCCATCCGCAGGGAGTCTTGTGTGGAGCCCATCCGGCTGCTCGATCCAGGGGACACAGGCGCCATTTTGTCCGGGCCTCGTGCGCCAGCCATGCATTGTGGGGTGGAGAGGAATTCATCCATCGTCCCCGATTGCTGGCTCATGGTGGTCTGCTGCGGGCCCGGGGTAGTCCCCCTCCTCGGTTTACCCATACGGACGAGTATGACTGCTATATTTCAAAGGGCTTTGGCGGGTGGGGGCCTAGGAGCTCTCACTGACTGCGTCCTACTCCATCGGCAGCCTAGCCACGCCCCCCCATGCTCTTTTTATAATATGTTGAAAATTAAAACTTAACTTTTATTATGATTTCGATATAAAATCTAGTATACAATATAGACTTTAAGTGCGGACAATGCAAAGCTTGAAGTTTCAATCTCCCTTCAAAAACCACAAAATTTTACCAAACTGGCATTGAAGTACAAGCTAATGCCTTTGCCAATTGCAGCACCACAAGAGTCATCAATCTGATCACTTGTAACAATTCCGTAGACGTATTCTCCAACCTGTGAGCTCTATAACCAGCACTGGAATCCTAACACCAGTAGCCAAACATATCATAAATTTCCACCACAACAATCCTGATATTCTCTGATTCCAAGTCATTGAAAAATTAAATATGAATTCTCACAAAGGTAACTTTAATCTGAGACTCTTACAAAAAGAATCCAGATACATTTATAGGTTCAACACATTGGCACTTGAGGGGTTAAATGAACAGTTTGATTACACCCCATTTTTACATCTATAAATTTACGACGCAGCTTTAAGTTAAGAAAACCCTGGTATATTACCATACCCCTACTAGTATATTTAGGACTAAATGACACTTAATTCTTATTTTTTTATTACATACTCTTTTCAGATAGTTAAATTAATTTCCATTATGAACTAATTCCTGTCCTTACATATGAGGATATATTTACATGCTTTAACTACTAGCTTACAAACTGTAGAATTCTCATCCTTTTCTCAAATTATTTTCATCCAATTAGTTATTTTCACTAAAACTAGAAATTATCATCATTGGATCCTTAACAACAAGCTTTAATACATTGGGCTCAACCAATATTTTCAACTGCTCAATAATATACTTCAAAATTACATAAAAAGATCAAGAGATTCTGATACCTATAAATTACCTAAATAGTCCTTTTTAACAGTTCTCTGGCATCCACACAATAATGAGAACTCTTGAATGTTATCAACTTTGTAGTATTTTAACCCCTTAAGGACACATGACGTGTGTCACATGTCATGATTCCCTTTTATTCCAGAGGTTTGGTCCTTAAGGGGTTAATATAATACACACAAATTTCAGCACCCAATGGGTTAATTTAGTGAATAACCCAGGGATGCAGCCCAATTACATAAGACCACTCCTACTTAATAGGAGTTTTAAATCTGGCCATATTTAGTGTCAATCTTTACCTTTACAGCAAGATTGGTTAGGATCTGTATCCAATGAAACCATGTATATGGATATTTAAACTCCAGTCATGGAGGTTAACTGTTCCCCCTGAGTAGCCGTCAAACCGGCAAAACGCACGTCGGGGCTCCTTCCTAACCTGCAAGATTAAGCTTTAGCAAATCTATCACAATTTAGAAGTTACTCTCACGACAGACGTTATTTTCCTGCAGGTGTACAAAGAGGAGTTTTGCGGCTGCATGTAAACAGTCAGACAGAGATTATTAGAAATTTGTAGGTGCCCATGAAGGCACAGCACAGACGTTATACCATGCAGGCAATTACCACTTTGTTTCCCTCTCTCAGTAACATACACTGCTTTATTGGGACCATAAATTATCCTAGCAGCAGTACTATCTAATTCAGGAGCATTGATCAGACTAACTAGGGATCAGCTGTTTATTCAGAGACTAAGGGATTTTTGCAACATTGTTTCAAAGGGTTTTTTGCAACACATCCCTACTAGGTTCTTACACTAGAGTTACTATGAGACATGTCGGAATAGGCAGACTGTAACAAGTTCCGTATTTTTCAAGCTATAGTAGTATTAATCAACCCTTAGTGTAAGCTACTGTTTATTAGACAGATTCACTAAAGTTCCATGCAGTCTAACTGGTAGCATCATTTAACCCTTAGGAAAAACTCCTGTTAAAAAAGGCAAACTGCCAAAACTCCTTACTTTTCTATTGACAGCATCACTAATGGCCTAATGTAAGCTTCTGCAAAAACTGGCAGAGTGCCAACAGCTCCATGCTTTTCAAGAGAGAGCATAATTTAACCCTTAGTGTAAGTCTCTGCTGGACTTAATACACATTCCAGTCATGGGCGTCCGCAGGGGGGGGCTAGGGGGGGCACCTGCCCCCCCCTGGATTTTTCAGCTTGTTCTGCTTTTTTCGTGTGAGATTTAGAATGAACTGCAATACCGGCGCCGGCCAGTAGGTGGCGCAGTGTATGGAGAGAGACAGGGATATGAAGCTACATCTTATCCCTGCTTCTCTCTGCTGATTGAAACCGCAGGGGAACAACACATGCAGCCAGAGACAGCCTACAGATCAGGTAAGTGAGGGATGAGGGGGAAGGTTTGAGAAGGGGGCAGCAGCAGCAGATAGATTTGGGGGCAGCAGCCCATAGATTTAGGGGGCAGCAGCCCATAGATTTGGGGGCAGCCTTTGGAATTTGGGGCAGCAGCCCATAGAGATTTGGGGGCAGCAACCTTTAGATTTGAGGGGCAGCAGCAGCCTATAGATTTATGGGGGGCAGCAGCCCATGGATTTGGGGGGCAGCAGCCTTTGAATTTGGGGGCAGCAGCCCTTAGATTTGGGGGGGGACAGCAGCCCATAGATTTGGGGGGAGCAACAGCCCATAGATTTGGGGGGAGGGGCAGCAGCCTTTAGATTTGGGGAGGGGGGCAGCAGCCTTTAGATTTGGGGGGGGGCAGCAGCCCATAGATTTGGGGCAGCAGCCTGGAATTTGGGGGCAGCAGCCCATGGATTTGGGGGCAGCAGCCCATAGATTTGGGGGGGCAGCAGCCCATGGAATTTGGGGGGGCAGCAGCCCATAGATTTGGGAGGGCAGCAGCCCATAGATTTGGGGGGGCAGCAGCCCACATAGATTTGAGGGGGGGCAGCAGCCCATAGATTTAGGGAGGGCAGCAGCCCATAGATTTAGGGAGGAGGGGCAGCCCATAGATTTTAGGGCAGCAGAAGCCTTTAGATTTGGGGGCAGCAGCCCATAGATTTGGGGATGGGGGCAGCAGCCCATAGATTTGGGGATGGGGGCAGCAGCCCATAGATTTGGGGATGGGGGCAGCAGCCCATAGATTTGGGGAGGGGGCAGCAGCCCATAACTTTGGGGGGGCAGCAGCCTATAGATATAAAGAAATGAACAGGAAGGGTCAGCAAGGAGCTGGAAGGTAAAACAGCACAAAAGTAAAGTAGAAGGAGCAGAAAGGGTCAGAAATGAGCTGGAAGGGGCAGAAGGAGCACAAACATAAAGTAGGAGAATGAGCAGGAAGGGCCTGCAAGGAGCAGGAAGGAGCAGAAAGGGTCAGAAATGAGCTGGAAGGGGCAGAAGGAGCACAAACATAAAGTAGGAGAATGAGCAGGAAGGGCCTGCAAGGAGCAGGAAGGAGCACAAAGGGACAGCAAGGAGCACAAAGGTAAAGTAGAAAAGGGAGCGGAAAGGGTCTGCAAGGAGCAGAAAGGGATCAGAATGAGAAAGGAGCAGAAGGGCGCAAAATAAGCAGAAAGTAGCAGAAAGGTAAAAGAGCAGAAAGGGGCCAAGGATAGAATACAGTGTCAGAAGAAAAAAAAGACTGTCAAATGAAGGAGAGGAAAAGGAGATTGGAGCAGGAAGGACAAATGAAGTGAACCCTCCACTTTATTCTGGACACCACATCATAAGGCTTTGGTACCTGGGCCTGGCAGGGAAACGCTGGACCTACTCATCTCCAAAGGTAAAAAAATATCAGTATTAATGTGTTCACTTTTATTTACTGAGTGTCAGGAAGCACAGAGTGCCGTTGGGTAGGGGTGTTGCTGATTGGCTAGAGCGGTCAGCTGGCACTCTAAACCAATCAGTAGCTCCCCATTCATAAAAAAGTAAAAATATTTTATGAACCGGGAACTAGCGATTGGCTTAGAGCGTCAACTGACCACTGTAGCCAATCAGCGGCACCCATGCCTGACGTCAATCTGCACTTCCTGACACTCTGTTTCAGAAGCCAAATACCACAGAGCGACCTGGAGCTGGAGGAAGCCTTTGGGCTTAAACCATTTGAGAGCGATTAAAGGAAAGCAAGCACCCAGGGGCTTCCAGGCATCTTAGCATTTTCATTTAGGTGAAGTTGTTATGGTGACCAGAAATGTCCTTTAATTTGCTTAAAGGAACACTATAGTGTCAGGAATACAAACCTATATTCCTGACACCATAGTTGTGAAAACGCTATTCACCCTGGCTTAATGTGATAATGGCTATGCCCCTTCCCTTTCATGACACTATCAAAAAGGTACCAAGCATGGATGTCATTACAATTATGCCCCCCCCTGGAAAAATTCCTGCGGACGCCGATGATTCCAGTGCATATGATCTTTTTCCTGAACATTTCTCTGTTCAAATACAAAACTAAGATTGGGAAAATCTTGTGTATATAGTTTGTTTTGGAGTGTATATTTTACTCCTTTTCACCTTATTATTAATTTTTGTTATATTTTATTATTTTGGTTTGGGATTCTTAACACTTTCTTAGTATTTCATCCTTTTCTTATTATAGGTTTACTGAGTACTTATATGTAAAAAGGCCATTAGGCCTGAATTTGTGGGAGGAGTAAGTCCCCTACTTAAACACCCAGCCCCTACTCACCTCTGACGTTCGAGTTCAAGTGTTCCTTGTGCTACTTCCGGTTCGCGAGACTTCACGTTTGCGTCATTTCCGGTCCGGGCGTCTCGTGTATCAGCTGCACGGCTGAATCCTCCGTGCTACCGGCGGTCCTGCTGCACTTCCAGTGCCCGGCAGAACCCTCAGTGCTACCGGCGGTCCTGCGGTATCCCCAGTGCTTCCGGCGGTCCGGCAGACCCCTCCGTGCTTTCGGCGGTCCTGCTTCCCAACTGTGAGTCCTC